TGATTTTATGTTTATTGTTTATTGTTTTATTTTATTACGAATTTTTACCAACTAAATGGACAATTTGCGCGCAAAATAAGCTTTGCAATTCGATTTGCTGCATGTTTGGAATGTAGATTGGTTGCAGACGGGTTCGTCAGAGACTCAAAAAGGTTTAGTTCTTACCGATCTATCGTCAATTGCCATAGATATGCTGAAAAGTAAGGCCCATAAGCGGTTAGAGCGCTTAAATTTGAGGCGTTACTTGTGGCGCCGCCACAGACAACAGCGGCCACTGCTGGAACTACATCATATTTGAAGAAAGTTGAGGAAAAAGTTGGAAAATGTGCTGCATACTTTCACGTTAAATAGAAAACTCACATAACTTCTCCTGTCTGCATGTACAATGGATCAGCAGTACCTCCCTTATCCCTAGGAATTCCCCTCTCCTAAACTACCCAAAGCAGAGGCTCATTTGTCCCAATCAAAACTTGTTTTGGTCTACTTTTTGGTGCCGCCTTTCGGCAATTTGTGGCCTCATCAGCAATCGTCGCTTGTCGACATCCAACATCCATCCAATCAACGCCGCTAATGCGCGCCAGACATGCAAGCCAAATGATTGAAAAGGGAAATGAAGATCTGAAAGATGGACAGCCTGGGAATCCGAGCTAAGATTTTGATAGATGTCAGCGCCCACCCGATCGGATCGTCAGGCAGCTTCACACATTGAGTTATCGCTGGGGTCTCTATCTCTCTATCGCTTTTGGTTATGCATTAAATATGAGTTGGAGCTGCGATGGCTTAAGTGACAGCTGATACACCTACCTGAGCCTCCTTTTTGGGTACCCAACTCCAAGCTCATGGCTGCCTCATGTATGCTCTTTGATGCCTCATCTCCTACCTCCAGTCGATTAAAATTCCACAACATTGTTGAATGTTAATCGCTCATTGTTTAAGGGGGCGCACAAAATTAAATTGTTTGCAGAATTTGACATATTGCAGAGATGTTGTTGCTGTCGCCTTTCAAGCTGCCGCCGCCAAGAAGAACTGAGACCTGAGACTGGAGTGCATTTTGAATGTAGTTTTGGGGCTGTAGTTGCTGCATTTGTAATTGCATTACCCCGCAGCCCAGCGATGGCAATCAGACAAAAGACAAGTTAATTAAAAACCGAGCACAAAGCGGGGGCAGGGAGAGGTGTTATGCAGCTCTTGGGACAAACATTGCTGGAGGAGCACACACACAATTTCTATAAAACAATTATTTTATACAAGAATTACAAGTTACACAAACAAATAGAGACTAAAATCTGTGTTAAAAGTTGTTCAAGCGTTGCACCAAGTTAGCGTTTAGCGGAATGTGTGTAAAGAGGGAATGTCTGCGGTCAATATTCGCCATTTCCATACTGTTTAATCTTGAGCAGCTCACAGGAGAACTTGAAGAATTTCTCGCACTTTTCAGGCTTCCTAGCATCCGGATGGAAGGGCCCCTTGCCGCCGTTGCTCAGATAAGTGCCGCCCTGGCCCTCAATCGAGGGATCAATGGCCGCAAACACGACCGTGCGGGAGCCACGCTCCGGCGTCTTGAAGAAGAGCTTCTTGAACATGGGCACCGATGTGGTGGCCGAGTGTTCGAAGAGATCCGTGTCCACAATGCCCGGATGCACGACATTCACCTGCACGTGCGACTTTTCTGCATCGAGCAGCGTCTGCAGGTGGCGCGTGTAGAGGATTTGTGCAAGCTTCGACTGACTGTACGCCGTGCCTGGATAATATTGCTGACTGTGGGGGGAGAAAGAACGTAGCGTGAGTGGAAGGATAACCAGCATTGAATGATTCACTCACTTTCCATTGATATCCTTGTAGTTGATGCGTCCAATGAGATTCACGCAGGAGCTCACATTCACAATTCTCGCATTTTTGCCTGGCTTGCCCGCCGCCTTGAGGCGTGGCAGCAGCAGATGGCTGAGCAGAAAGTGTCCCAAGTAATTCGTGGCAAAGTGCGACTCGTACCCATCGGCGGTGAGCTTGAAGGGTGCAAACATAATGCCAGCATTGTTCAGCAGTAGATCGACCTTCGTGTAGCGCTCCTTGATGCGCTGCGCAAAGGCCTGCACCGATTTCAGATCTCCCACATCCAGTTGCTCGCAGATCAGCTTGCCCTTGGACTCCTTCAGATCGACAATGGCTCCAACGGCGGCTTCGGCGCCCTTGGGATCGCGAACACCTGGAAATTATGGCAAAATGAAAGGTAAATAAAGGTAATTCTACATGGGCGATGCACAGGGGAGACATCTAGCGGCGAAGCGTGTAAGACAGCTGTAAAGTAGCATGTAGAGAGCGTGTAGCAAGCATGTAGCAAGTCGATTTTGTTGTCAAAATCAAAAGTTAACGAACTCTTATCGCCATAACTCCAACAAGTGCGATCCAAACGTGATTGGAGTTGGGAGTTGAAGCAGATAAAGAACTCATGCGCTTCGGGTCACGTTTTGTGGAGAGTCTTCGATCGATTTCTTTTCTCCTTTTTGGACTTGGCCATGCCGAGCACGTGCACATGGCTCCACACTGACTTGTCGCATTAAATGTTGGCCAGAATTTGTAATTATCCACTCCGGGACACTGCTGATTAATGTGCACAAAGATCGTATGCTTACCCATGACAACAGTCATGTCGCAGGCCAGCAGCTTCTCCACAATTCGCAGTCCAATGCCACGATTACCTCCCGTGATGACAGCGATGCGATCCGGCTGCTTATAAAGTGCTTAAGTAGATGACAATGTTGACAATTAATTGTTGAGCGATAAACATCTAAAATCTGTGACTTACCCACTCGATCCCGCGCTGCGTAATGTGCATCGTGGATGAGTCCGACAATGCCCAAATATTGATACCGGAACTCTGTCTTCCACTCGAACCATGACTTGGGGAACTCCTTGGTCGTTTTCGAGAAGAGAAACGCGCACAGCAGCAGGCCCACAAATAGAAGCCAAAACAATGCGAACAGCATGATGCCTGAAAGGAAAAGATAAGGATTAGCTGCGAGTCAGAGCTACGTCTGCCGGGCAAAGTTCGTTCAGATAAGAAGGAACGACAGCACAATGTTGGGCTTGGGCCATTAGCCAAGTGCCAGCGCCAGTGCCAGTGCCAGTGCCAGTACTGGGGCAATTATCAATATTGACGAGTCAATTCGTCTCGAGTGCACTTTGCGACTCTCTCGACACCTGAGTCAGCAAGAAGTTTATGAGCCACCAAAGGGGTACAGAGTATGCTGTGAGCATATGCTGCTGAGAGGTGCGACATTTCAGGCTATTCTCTGGGGTACAATTTTATCGATAACTGATGGAGACAGAGCCAGAGTCCCAGCGTATCTCAGCGTATCCAACCATCCGTGCTCTCTTGACTTGACGTATTTCTATTTGCCGAGCAATTGGGCACGATTGTTAGTTCTGTCTATTGCATCATGGCAAGTACCTGCGAGTGTGTAGATTTCTCTGAATATTTACGATGCAAGTTGCACTTTTGACTGCAGGCTTAATTGTTTTGCGGCCAGCTGGAAGCGCTATTAAATTAATTAGAAATAATATCTAATATTTAAACACAATGTCAGCGACTTAGACGCAGGTAGAGAACGAGAGGGAGAGGGAGAGAGGAACAATCCAAACTGTCGAGCTGTCCGTGCTTTCGGGACTGTGTGGCTGTGTGTGTGTGTGTGTGTGAATGCTCGTAAAATGCAAATTAAAAAGCCAAACAGCGTTAACAGAAAGCACCAAAGAATGAAAGTTGAAGAACCCGAGACAGAGCCCAAAGCTAGAGATAGCCAACCAATGATCGGGGCCAAAAAAGAGTCGAAAAAAACAGATTGAAGCGCTAAGCAAAAGGTTAGAGGTGGGTAGAGAGGCGAAACCTCCAGCGACCTGTCTACGTACGAGCTCTCTACGAACGTGCGTCGCGTCGTCTCTTCTCTGCTTCGACTTCCGTCAACAAAACGCAAAAGCTTAGCAGTTTTTTTATTGTTGCTTTTAATTTTGGTTGCAACTTGGATGGTTAACTTTCTATTTCCATGACATGACGACCGCCAATGCCGCCCCCTGCCCTTCACGAGTGTCTTCACTGCTCTGTCGAAACTATAGGAAATGCACTTGCCTTTGGTCAGCCAAACGTGTCTATGCTAATATTGACACCCTTTTTATTCAATTAAAGGTTTGGCTTTTGGGTTTTGGCTTGTGGGTTTTGGGTTTTGGGGGCCGCCTTGAAGTTTTCAATTTCTATTGCTCGATTTTGGAGAACCGGTTTCCGCACTGGCCAGGCCCTTGGAGTCACAACCGCACCGCGAGAAATTCAAAAGCGAACTGTAAGCTTTAAATGCGCGCCTTTCCGCATAGAACTTGATTCGTTTTGTCACTTTTTTCGTGTGTTTTCGGTGGAGCCAACAGGTGTATGCGTCTGTGCCGGCTGACTGCGGGGCCGCAAAACAGCTGATGACAGGCCTTGGTGTGTGTTAGCGCTGGCACTTGGTAGTAGCTGCAGTGCACTCACCTTAATAAATAGTCAGCCTAAACACTTAACTTAAAGTTTAATTGACAAAACTGCCGAAGCAAGCGTATTTTTGTTGGAGCGCGGAGCAGTGTGACCGCGGAAGCACTGATTAAAAATACCGCTAGACCCGCAAAATAGCTCAAAAAGTATATAGTACGGTCACTTTGGAACGTTGGAACTTGCTGCTTGCTGGGGATTTGAGCTCTTCGATAGTGATCCGCAAGGTGTGTGACTTAGAGAAGGATGTCAAATCAAGACGTCTGTTACTTTTGCTAGCTGTTTTGAATTTATTTATTGAACGGAAATCCTTTACGGTGCACTTTAAAGAATAGCGAAAAAGATATTATTACAATTTAGGTTATACATCGGTAATGTACCAGCTATCAACTAATTGTTGTCTTTATATATGTAAGTAGTTGTGTTTACATTTATAGTAAGAAAAGAAACGGAAGCTGAAGCTAAATTGAAAAATCGAAAAAGCTAAATATAAATTTTCGTACAAGTGTAATTTTTGTATAATTGATTAACTTTCCGGTTAACTCATACGACTTTGGGGGTCTTTTAAGATATAGGTGTGTGTGCGAGTGTGTGTATACATCATATAATTATTTAATTGTGTGGGTGTGTGTGTTTGTGTGTGTTTAGGTGCTACTAAAAGAATATTACTGTGTGTTTGTGGAAAGGATAAAGTATTTGAAATAATTTTGGAACTCTAAGTTGCAGCTGCTGCGTCGGTTTGCTTCTCCGTCTCGTCCGTTCTTGCAGCGACATCCTTAGGCTCCCTTAACCGTCAATTCTCCACGGACATGTTGCCAATGTCATCATTGATGGACAGCACCTGGCCAATAAAGTTCTGATCGGTGACCACCTCGGCCAGCGACTTGCACAGCTCCGTGAGCTCCTGCAACGGCATCTTCAACTGCGGTGCCAACTTCCCCAAATGGTGGCTAATGGAGTCGGGTAGCTGTGGGAGATTGAACCATTAAAATGGGTCTTTCCATAATATATTCGATGGGTGACTGTACCTTGCCTTTGCCCACTTTGAAGGCACTAAACATGAGCTTCGTGCGCACACGTTGCTCGTTGGGTCCGTCGTAGAAGATGGTCAGATAGGACTCTTGGACATTGGCCACCAGCGGGAAGTAGATGCCCGCATAAACCTGACCCTTGGCATCGCGCGACAGCAGCGATCGGAAATTGTACACCAGATTGCGGCGCACAGTGACATCGATGGCCGTGATGTACTCCTGGGCGACGTAGACCAGCGAGGTCTTGTAGCTGGTCTTCTCGCCGCGTATCTCACGCTCCTTCCACTCCACAAACTTGCCGCTGTGCTGGCTGTACGCGTAGCAGTAGTCCCGCTGCAGATGCGGCTCCTTCGATTGTGTGAACCAACCTGCAAGGAAGGAACATCAGTAGGCTGCGGGGATTTGGCTGTATAGAGAGGAAACTTACCCGTATGTGGATAGCTCTGATCCATCATTACAGTCACCGCACGGCTCACGTGGTAGCCCGGATCGAGTATCATGACACCGCGACGCCCGCCAATGGCTATGCGCATGGCCACCATGACGTGCTCCTTCTCCACAGCCGCATTGGCCGAGTTCAGGCCGTACTCCTCATCCAGCTGAACGTAGTCGTTGCAGTCCATCACCTGCTCCTCGCAGGACACCACGTACAAGTACTGCGCCAGCACGGGGAACATCTGCACCATCCTGGCCATGATCTCAAAGGCCAGCGAGACGCACATGTGGTGGCGGCGATTGATGGGCACATCGTAGAACTGGAAAAAGCTGCGCAGATCGGAGCGGCGAGTGCGCTTGAAGCTCCGATAGAAGTCCACAAAGAGATTGACCGTGTTGTAGTGCGTCTCCTCGAGCATGCGCTGCAGCGTCGTCTCCACAATGCCATTGAGCTCCTCGTACTGCCAGACGTTGTCAAAGATCAGGGTGCCCTTGCCGGCCTCGGCCCAATCGGGCAGGGGCAGCGGATGACCCAAGGGCCACACGCCGTTGATCTGGTTGTAGGCACTCAGGTCATAGCCATCGCCGACAGCCCAATCTTGGGCGCCGAGCGAGTGCTGCGAGTCGTCCGGGAGGAACGGCTGCTGTCGGGCCAGCAGCTGCCGGATGTCGGAGTAACGCTCCGATCCATCCACCGATGTCAGGTCGGCGGCTGGCAGCCACTGTAGCACCTCGTCATCGTCGTAATCGTCCTCACTCGAGGTGGAGGGCGTTCGCCGAACTGTGCCAGTGCCTCTTGCCTTCCCGGATTGATCATGTGCGAAGGGCGACTTCGTAGTCAGTCCCAATCCACGCAACGCATCCGCCAGCTGCTGCTCTGAGTCAGAGTCTGCGGCGGCAGCAGCGGCACCCTCCTCGGCAGCATCGACATCACCATCCCCATGGACGGGGACTGACGATGCTGCTCCATCCTGGCCGTGGGCAGCGGCGAGTCAACTTGGCCACTCCGAGCCCCAACGGCCCACGGTGGGCACATAGCCACTTTCGCAGTCATTGAATGTTGCTTCTAGTTGAATGTTGGCGACTTGTCGCGTTGCGTTAGCGCTCGAATTCAAAGGTTCGGTGATCGCCTGAATGGCAGCGATTGTGGCTCCAGCTCCAAGACTGTACAGACTAATCCGGCCCTGCGCTCGGTTGAACAGGAGGTCCGGCTCGTCTCCAAATTTCGTTGTTGGTTTAGACTGATCTGTAAAGGAGAAAGGGGAAAGAAGGAATGTGAGTAAAGCGGGGAGAGAGAAAGAGACCCTTGAACTGCTTGCGTAAGCACTGCTTGCCTGTTGGCTTTCCTTTCAAGGGTTAAACAATTATCGTTGCCTATTTCTAATCAGCTCTTCAGCAGGTACGAGTCAAAACGTGTTATTAATGATTTTCTTAGGTACAAAAAAACAGATTGTAATCTCTAACCCGCTGACGCCTGTTGCTGCTAGCTGGCTGCTCTGCTGTTTCCATTCCATCGGACGGGGTACAGTCAGTCTTTAGTGTGCAATAAACAAGTGCCAGACACAAACCTTATCAACTTGCGGCAGGAAGTGGGTGGGGCTGGGGTCTAGTATGTGTTCAAGTACTGCTGCTGCTGATAATTTCTACTAAACTTAGTCGCTTAGCTAGCACAAAGAACTCACTGGGCGTTGCCTGGTGGCTGGGACACGTGCCCTGGCCTGGTCACATTTGCATGCATGTGAATTTGTTGCCTCAATGGGAATGCCATCTTCGTCATGCGCTAATCTCGAGCGCAGTCAAAAATATTTATGATTAGAGCACGAATATTTTGCGTCGTTTCTGTGAATTGTTTCTCTTTGTGTGTAATATGATTCAGTGAGTTTTTGTTGCTAATTTACAGGTGAATCATGGACAGGCAAAGGTCTTCTCTTGGCAGCCCCTCACAAGAGAGAATTCTATCTACACTTGATATTCCCCTAGTTTTATCTTAATTTGTTTCAATTTGTTTACTTACCCATACAATGGCCTAAAGCCCAATAAACGAGATTGTGTGGTTTTTATGAATGTTCTTTGTTGGATGTTCCCTCGAACAATCACTCGATGTCACGCGCTGCTGGAACTGCTCTGCTTGCACTGCTGGCAACTTGTTGCGCACTAACGGCTGTCTGGGGCAGGCCCCAAACGTTTGGGAAAATGTAACAAAATAAGGGGAAAACGTAACACGAACTAAAAGGCAAACAACTTGCTGTTGTTTGATTTCTTTGCTCTGCCTGTCCTGTGCGTTTGCTTTTTTCTTTGTTTGCGTCCCTTTGATTTGATCTTTGTGGGGTGTTTTTTAGTTTGATTTTGGTTTGTGGGTTTTCTTTTGCTTTTGCTTTTTGCCTGTTCAATGCAGGTCCGAGTTTTTGAACGATATTGGCGAATTAATAGACATCGAAGTGGATTTTATTCAACACGTTTTATGCTTGACCCAGTCCACAGATATGTACTATGTATACATATATATCTCCTATGTATTTCTTTTGCTTATGCACTTGCACTTGGCTATTTTCGTAGCTGGGGCTCTGTTGCTTTTTCTGTTGCTTTATTTTCCGACGACTCTGTTGCTGCGTTGAGAAACGAATACCGAATGAGAGTCGAGGGCGGCCCTGCTTCTATATATACAAAAAATCCGATCGCAATTGTATTGTTTTCCCCCCGATTTGACTGCGAAGCGTCGAGGTAAACGGTAAACGTTAGCGTCGTCGGGTCGACCGAGCAGAGCAGCGACTGCAGGCCAGGCCGTCTGTCCCAATTGTTATTGCTATTGTAGTTCCTGCTGCGGCTTTATTTTTGTTTGTTTGCTTTATTCGCGAGACAACAAATTATTTCAATTTATGACGCAAAAAAAGCTTGAAAAATTCCACAAACCCTGCGACGATAGGAGGGGGGAAAGACGGAACCGAAACCGAACGGCACTGCACGTAACGCGACTTTTGTTTTGCTCCGTTACTTCGTGGTGTCCGAGTGGCCGTTTCTGTGATTTGCTTTTACACGACAATTGTGGACGAGAAGCGACTAGAATCGTGTTGGGATAGGGCTCTCTGCTCTCTCCTTTCTTTCTGCAAAAGAGAAAAAGGGAAGCGGAAAAGTGATGAATAAATTATGACAAAAACATTGTATAACTAATCAACGGTTGGTGGAGCTGTTTACTTTGATTTTAGTTACTCTTATCTAGTAGATCCCAGTCATCCGCTTGTTTATTCTTCAGTTTATTGATATGGCCTACGTTGGTTATGCCTGCCCCACCCCGCGCACCCCTTATTTGATAACTGGTTGAGTGGAAAATTTGCCATGCCCTGGGGTCGACGTGTGTGTAACCATTGGCAATGGTAAATCTGATTGGATGCCCTCCACAGCTACGGAAGATGCAGGCCATTGATTATGCCACATGAGAGTGGGGTGGGGGAGGGAGGTCATACACCTATTGTAATGCGGATTAGAAACGCCCGCTGGCAACCCAGTGGAGCGCTGGCAACGTGTGGAGAGGCAACAAGTGAAGAGAAGCCTGTGCTATGGAAAGGACATGCCCCACAAGTGCTGGCAAACTACGTAAGGGAACTGCCCTCAGTCTCAGCCTGAGCCAGCATGTAATTAATGTCACGAACTAATTGGCAATAGGGCGACAACTGCTCATCCCATTTTATTTTATATTATTCTTAGGCCTAGGGCGCTGCTACTCATTTTGTTCGAGGCCAACTAATAGAACAATGCCAGCCGCCTTTACACTCTTGTTTACCGAGCGAGTGCCCTGCCCCGCCATGTCATGCCCACATTTCGTGTACTATCGCTTTTAGGCCCCAGTTTTTATATACAGCTGCCATATAGTTGAGATTTCAGCTTCTGCGTCGTAATGAAATTGTTTGTGGTGTTTGCCGAGATGTAAAAATGTAGACAAACATTTTCTGATGGTGCAATTTTTGCAGTTTTCAAGGTCATCCGTTCTCTTAAACTAAAATTTGCATGAAAAGTACTCAAAAGAGATGGCAAATGCCACTGGGGAAACTCCAAAGAGTGCTGCCTCAGTCGGTGCGGACTTACTTCCATTTTTCAAACAAATAACAAACACATAAATTTCAGCTATTAGGAGGGCAGCGCAACAGCATGTTGAATATGTTATTAATTAATTAACTAATAAATACAATGCGTAAAAGCAGCTCAGGGCTGTCTGCGTGGGTGACATTTATGAGCCGAGCAGTAAAGTTTCTGCTGAACAAAAACGGAAGCCAAAAGACGAAAAGGTCGCGCAACCAGTGTCAAATTAGCAATGACGAAGAGGTCGACTTACTTCCACGCTGTCCTGCATTGACGTCACACTGAAACAGAACGAAACAGAAGCGGAAACCTTGGCTGTGCTTTGGAATTGGCTTATCCCCAGTTTCCCAAAGGGAGATTCGCACATCGAAACTAGTTCAATGTCGCTAAATAGCGCCTGACGTCACTGTAAACTCACTGTCTCTGCCGGCCGGCACTTGGGTTGGGTCATATTTCCCACTCCCCTTTGACCCAGCTTTTGATTCCAGTCGAACGGTTGCCTGAGGGCCACGTGTCGCATGAGAACTGTCTCGCGTCTGTGAATTTGTAAACAAATTCGTATCTGTGGCTATGTGGATGGGCCTTTTAAAATCAAAACAACAGCAGACCGAGGCGCAGACGCTGGAATTCTATCGAGCTTTCCAGAAGGAAGTGGCAAAGTGGCATATGGCATGCATTGTCATAGAAACAATAGAAACACTATACATTTTTGCAAATATACAGCTCATTAAATATAGCAATTACCTTACAAAGTGTCCTACTTTTTCAAAATAAAAATAAAATTTAATTTACACATGCAAAGCACACTATTGTAGCACACCACTGTAGACAACGGTTTGCAGACAAAAACTGCAACGGTTGGCTACACTGAAGGTCAATTAAATGGGCACGCTCAAAAGTTACGAGTATGCGGTATATTTTTGGGGATTTCTATTCTTACTCTTGTTCAGACAATGTTTACTGGCTAATGCACAGGTATAATATGAACCAAACTGACCACTATAGTGGGACGGCACTGTGGTTATTGTCCTGCTTTTGCGCACTTTTATTGAATTGAATATATTTTTCTTTGTTGTCTGTTCGGTGGTCGCATCTGGCAGGTGTTGCCTTGGCAACCCAAACGTAAAATCGATAGAGTAACTCCACTGAACGTGGTTTATAGTGGAATTAATGACTTACCCTTTTAATTGGTTCTCAATGGGGAACAACGCTCTAGAATCAGACACGCACAAACACGCAAAATCAATCGCCGCCTGCCGTAGGTCGTTGGTCAGGGGGAGAGGTTGAGTCCACACAGCCTTACAGCTTTTTACTCCAATTGTAGGAACCGTTGTAGAAAAATAAAATCAATATAATCATTTTCGTGTGCATGTGCATATTGAGGACAGTCATTGCACAACAGCTAAGGCACGATTGCACTTTCCGCAAAAGGATTTGTTGTAGTCTTGCTTTCTTTCAGCCAGAAATTTATGACGAAACTCGATTTGTTTAGTTTTTATGCCTTCGCTTGCGTTTGTGTGTCATTTAAGGTGCGGCGACCGAATGCGAACTCCGCGAAACGAAGAATTCTAAAAGGGACTTCCGGAATATTATCAAATTTTATATCCTCGCAAAGAGATATCTTCAGTGTGACCGCGGAATTATCGAGACCGACAGACCCTCAGAAATATATCGAAATATACCCCTTTAATTTAAAAATATACTGTAAATATATTGTAAATCTTAAATAATTTTTCTAGATTTTGCTAATCTATTTAATATTACTAGCTTGCAAAGACTTTTAACACTAAAACAATAATTTAAACCGATGGAAGAATCAATTTGGCTCAATATATATACTCCCTTTATTGGATTGCATAGCTTATGTTCTATATACATTAATTATTTGGGGAAAACGTTTTCTTTATATCATCAATATACCAGAAAATTTTGATATTTTTTAGCTTTGTACGACTGTCAGTTGTCTCACTTTAATATATTTTGAAATCAAACAAATATGTGCTGCATACAAACATGTTAATGCAAGCTCGGCGGCACATCAACGTCACAGTTCCACTGATGGTAATGGTCCTGTTAGCGGCAAGACTGCATCCAGTGTGTGGCACTAATGGCGATGTAGATTCGAGAAGAACGGTAAAGCTACGCCGAGATCAAGATGACTGGCTTGCCCTTCCGCCGTTGAATGTCAAAAAGCCTGTGGCGAGCACCGATCGATTGTTCCAGCAGGTGGACGCCTTCGATCGACTCGATGGCATAACAGAATCCTCGCCTGCAAGGGACTTGGAAGCATTTTGGGGCTTTGGTCGTAAATCAGAGAAGCAGCCGAAGGAGAACAAGCTGAACTTCTTGCTAAACTATTCCAGTGAAAAGAAACTGGGAACAGCGGAAGCTGGAGCCAACACAAAGATCGATGAGCTGTTCAAGCGGCCGCAGATGAAGAAACCCGAAAGCGCGCAGCAGCTGGAGCAGCATCACCGGCAAATGGATCACTTCAAGAACGTTGCTGCCGATCTGGCATTTGAGCGAATGATGAACAGCCAGCAAGAACGAAAACAGAGCGCCGATGCTGTCTTTATCCCCCTGTTTACCACCGCAACACCCTTTTTAGCCAAGTCTGCTCCGGAAAAGTCCCCAAATAGGAAGATTTATCCGCTAAATCACGCTGCAAAACCTTCTTGGGCGATAACTTATTTGGCAAAAAGTGTTCCGGCGAAGCCAGCAAAGGAAAAGATTCATCCACAGCTTTCCGCTGCAAAACCTTTCGGGGCGAAGCCTGTTCCTGCGAAGCCCGGTAATAGTAAGATCCATCTGCTGTCTAAAGCCAAGAGCCAGAAGCCAGCGTTGCCCCGTCCAAGCACCTGTGCGGCAACGACACCAAAAAAACCTCCCTCCGGGAAGGGTAATCCCAGTCCCAAGCCCAAACCGTTGGCACCGTCTAAGGCGCAGTGCAAAGACAAGAAAGAGCCGCCGATCAGTGGTTCCTCAGCAAAGCGTTTAGAGCTAGAGATCCTAGGCATGAAGAAGCATCTCCTGTCCATCCTGAAGACCCTGAACGTCCTGGAAATGGAGGTGCTGAGCAGATCGCCAGACACCTGTCCGCGACACCATCACAAGGGGAAAGGGATGGGCAAGGGCAACGCTCCAAAGAAGAAGACAAAGATCGGGGAGCGACTGGACAGACCCAATTTACTGTCCAAAGCTAACTCAACGCTTCATCCCGGCTTTGTCTTCGGCATTCGACCGGCGGGCGCCAAGGAGAAATTGGCAGCTTTGGCTGCCGCTCGCAGCGAGGAACTCAAGCTGCGGGGAAAAGTGTGGCAAGAGCATCTGCAGCATCTGATGGCCAGGAAGCGGCCCTACTTAAAGCCAAAGCGTTACGAGGTAGCGCCACCAGCAGCCGCTCGCCTAGAGCCCGTAGACCCAAAGCCTTCCGTCGTCCCGCCCCTCAATCACAAGTCGCTGCTTTTGTTGCTGAAATCGAGGCCAACTTCAGCTCCTGTGCAGCAAGATCGCATGCCTGTTACCCCAGCCAAACATTTAGCTATTCGAAATTATGAACTGTTGCCAAAAAAGTTGAATGGCACCAAACGCCATCCCGCGCCACGGATGAATAAAAAGAGAAAGAAGAAGAAAATAGCTCCACGACCGACTGACCGAACGATAGCCAGGAAGATGGCCAGATAGCAAGATGCTAGCCCAATGCGATATGGAAGCAACTTTAATTAATATGTATTTGTTTATTAATATATTTCTTTATATTTCATGAAAATGTGCGCATTTTTTTCTGCCAAAGGGTCACGCTACAAATACGCTGCAGCTAGTATTTGCGTTAGTTTCAGTATTTCTTTCATAAACTTAGATTTAGACGGTATATTTTATCAATAAATCCTCAGTCACACTGCCGCACGCGCCTTTTTTATAAAATAAATGTACAAAATTCTTAAAAAGTTTAGAATCAGCAGGCCTTTGTTTATTTTGGTGATCACTGCCATATAAGTGTTTTCAAAGTGTTCATTTGACTTAAAACTAAACTAAGTGTTCAAATTGACTTAAAACTAAACTAAGTGTAATACGAGTTAAAATAGACAAAGTGAAACATCGTGAACGTTTTTTTCTATCAAAATAGACATAATATTTATGCAAGATCAAGTGCATATTTAATAAGAACGTTGTTAAGCCTGGAGCTACACATAATAAACTTAATTATTATCGTAAGTACACAGACAGAAAGAAGTGGCTCTAGTATATGCTAAATAATCATGGCGGAATTAACGGAACTTTTCTTTCCCTCCATCTGTGTTTCTACGTATTTTTCCAAGAAAAATGTTCATGTATGCAAACAATTGGATGTGCATACATATTTTCTTTCAAATAGCGGATCATGTTCGGTACAGAATAATATATATCGTCTTCCACTGAAAATATGAAAACTGCAGCGCTTGCTGATTTTTGGACGCTGCGATCTACATATCTCTGTCTCTGCTCCTGCCGCGCTATCGTCGTCACCATGTGTATGTGTGCGAGAACATATGCGTACATTGTAGACGCGTTTCGCTTCTCTTTAACTGTAGTCTCTCTTTTTCTGTTATCTCTGCTGAATTGTTTTTGGCTGCACTCTGCGTTCTTAATTGTTGTTGCTCTTTTTATTTGGCAAAAAGTTAATTGCTTGCGGTGGGTGGTGATGGGCGAAACGGGCATTCCAAAGTACTTGAATCATGCTCATTCCAATGCTAATGCTCTCTCTTTTTCTCCTCCGCAGGTCTTTAGAATTAAGCGTCGTCATGTCCACGAATAAAGAAGAGATCTTTGCAGAAGTAACCACTGAGGTGCGGGCGCTAATCATTAGTGGGCGCAAGCCACCAGTTCCCCTAGACGACGTTCTCAGAGACTATATTGATGTCGTGGGAGAGCCGCTGCCATTTCTCCGATTGGGCTATCAGAGCGCCCAGGCGATGCTGGAGGATACCAAGAACTTCAATTTTCAGAGTTACGGAGGCACGGTAAATGTCTGTTGGGAGCGTAACCAACGTGGGAACTAGTTACTCTTTAAATTCAACTCTCTTATTAGCGCTTCTGTCCCACCCACTGTGCCCGCTTGGACTCTTGCAAACACACGCACACACACGTTCTCTCTGTTAAGTTTATACCCTGCATTCATAGCTTATGGCGGTGTATCGAATTATGGTAGATGTGTGAACCTAACAGAAAGAGGATGCGTTGCTGACCCCATTTAGTATTCAGTAGCAATGGAATATATTATCTACATAGCAGTAAAGCTTACAGCGTAAACTCACTGACAAAAACCATCTTGACCAGATGCCGTTTTGGGAGACGTCTTCGCTCGCTTTACTACGGTACAGGCAATCTGTTTGTCGGTACACTCGACTGTATAGAATTAGCTGGCTTTCTCTCACCAGCAGCGTGCTGAGCTTGCTCTCTCGCTCAGCTTTCGATTTTGGCGTTGTGAAGCTTTTTGCGCCCGCAGTACCTTTCAACGCGTGCCGAAAGCTACAGCTGCGTCTGACTGCCGCTGCTGCCGCTTGTGTCCACGGGGGCCTGCCGCAAAAGGGGCGACGTGTCAACAGCCTTCTTCTTCGCTGTCGTGTTTCTTGTTCGTCTTCGAAGAGTGTAAACAATGGCATTCTACTTAACTTAGTTTATTTATTTTTACGCTGTGGCCAAGTGCGCGCGGGGCTGTCGCTTTCTATGAGCTTTGCCTTGCGATTGCTGTAGTTTTGCTGATTAAGCGCTTTTTTTTGCAAATGCATTCGCCCCACTCTCCTCACCCCACCGAAAATGTGTAACACGAAAACCGAAATGACAGCAATTTAAACTTTTATTTTGCTATGCATATCTTTGCCTATGTGTGTGTGTGGTGAAAGTGAACGAACGAAAGACTGCTATCTCTGTCTGTCCGTGAATTACACTTGAAATCTAGAATAGATGCAAAAACAAACGCAGATTTCAACTTCCGTTGCACGGGGGTGTGCGTGGGCCGACGCACGCCCTGCACTTTTTCCGGGCAAATCAATAATTCCAAGTGCAACAGAAATGAGAGCATCATTGCAGTAAATGAATGCAAAATACACATTATAAATGTTTATATGTAAATCCATGCAAGCTTTCTCTGCATATCAACCACATACATTATATGCAATATCACGTCTGGTGGCCTCGTACTCTACCCATATTCATGCAGCGTTGCTCAATGGAGCGCACTCCCGACCCTATAAAGACCGAGAGACGATTACAGGCCCACATTAAATGAATCATTTGGCTGAGCAATCAAAAATCAGCATACAACCGGGCTCCGATTTCTAAACTAGACAACGCGGCACTTGGCCCAACACTCAGATCTTGGGAGGGAGGGGCAGCTGGAGCTGCATTTTTATTGGGTTTCAGTTACCCAAACTGGGTGCTCGCCAAGCGGAAAGACTTTCCCTAGTTCCAATAATTTGATCTGCAAGAATAACAATATTTCGCTTTTACTTTTGCAGGTCTACATCACCGCCAAGTACAGCGAGAAATCGGATCACATTGTGTGTATGGTGCGGAATCAGAAGAGCTCCAAACCTAAATCCAGAGCACGCTCAAAGCCACTGGCACAGCCACAGCCACGCTCTTTCAAAGCCGCTCCAGCCAGCAATCATCAACAGAGGTCTCAGCAGCATAATAAGAATAACCAATATCAGCAGCATCTTCAGCAAAGGAAACAACTAGAGCTCCAACAGCAACAGCAGCAGCAAAGGAATCAGCTGCAACTCCAACAGCAGCAGCAGCAGCAGCAAAGGAAACAACTAGAGCTCCAACAGCAACAGCAAAAGAATCAGCTCCAGCAAAGGAAACAAGTTGAGCTCCAACAGCAACAGCCGCAGCAAAGGAATCAGCTGCAACTCCAACAGCAACAGCAGCAGCAAAGGAAACAACTAGAGCTCCAACAGCAACAGCAAAAGAATCAGCTCCAGCAAAGGAAACAAGTTGAGCTCCAACGGCAACAGCAGCAGCAAAGGAATCAGCTGCAACTCCAACAGCAACAGCAGCAGCAGAGGAAACAAGTTGAGCTCCAACAGCAACAGCAGCAGCAGCAAAGGAATCAGCTGCAACTCCAACAGCAGCAGCAGCAGCAAAGGAATCAACTTCAAGAAAAGGAGCAGAAGATTCAGGAGCTGCAGGAGGCGTTAAATTTCTATCACAAGCAGAGAGAAGAGCAGCAACGCCAGCTGGCAGAGATCAGGGAGCAAGACGAGAGGAAACCCAGGGTGCAGGAAGAGTTCGTAAGGAAGCTGCAGCTAGATCAAGAGCTGCTCAGACGCAAGGGCGAAGTCAAAGATAGGCTGGAGAACTTTGCTCTGAAAATCGTGCCTTTAACACAAAGCAACGAGCAGGTGCTGCAGCCCAAGGAAAAGGATATCCCTTCGAAAGAACTTCTGCACGTTAAACCCGACATGAATGGCAATAGCAATGGTCATGGCAGGGCCATGGCGGGAAAGCCACCACAACGGCCCATACTGGGCAACGGTGCCCCACATCGTGGCGGTGGACCGATAGCTGCCTTTGATGCGAGCAAAAATCGGGGACTACAACAGCGAACCTCTGTGAATGATAGACTGAAGAAACAGCAGCAGCAGGTGCAGCCAGCGGTGACTCCTGCAGCCACAGCACCAACCAATCCAATGCCTGTTCCAGCGCCAATGACTCCGCCTGCTACGCCAGAAGCTCCGACGTCAAAGCCCGATCATAGAGCCGTTCGCAAGTCTACGAAATCCCAGAATACAAACAAATTTGTGTTCAAATCGGATGCGGCACAAGACCCGATCGGCGCGCTGAAGGCTTACTGCGAATTCAAAGAGTTGGAGGAGCCCAAATATCGCACGTTCAACAGTCGGCCGAATCTGATCTGCTCGGTGGGTGTGGGCTCTTTTATCTACAGCAGCTATCCCCAGGAGTTTGCTGACGAATTGACAGCCCGCAAGGCGACGTCGTGGATTGCCATTCAAAAGATTCAGGAGTCAGAGTCACGACAGCCGCTCACCATTTGCACGCTGACGGATCACGAGTTCATTGACGGCCTGTACCGCGAGCTGCGGCAGTATCCCAATGGCATATTGGGCCACAAGCTTGAGGAGTGGTATGAGCGCACGTTCAACCATCATCTGCCCAGCCACTGGCACGATCTGGTCGTGGAATCGAGCAAGATTCGCATGGAGAAAACAGTCACATCGCTCATTCTGCTGGCCAACGATCCTGCCTCTCCGAGAAGAGCAGCGCCACAGCGGTACGAAATATCCGAGCTTCGGCTGCCTTGGATGAGCGAGTCGGAACACAGCTTGGAGCGCCACCACGACTGGAGCTTGTACATCACGCACTGTGACTCCACGAAGCAGATTTGGGCTCGCCTCATCGATCAGATATCCAGCCTCGAGGAGCTGACGGTGCACCTGAACAGGCATGTGGCGGTGCGCACTCCGATAACGGATCCCCACGAGCAGGACATGTATCTGGTGGAGGTTGCCGAGGGCTGGAGTCGCGTGCGAGTGCTCTCCGTGGACGCCAAGCAGCGCACCTGCCGCTGCCACTTTGTGGACTTCGGGGACGTTGCCTCGTTTGAGTTTGAAGATCTTGTTCCCTGTCCGCCGAGGTTCCTGGTGCTGCCCGCCCAAGCCATCTGTCTGGGCATGTATGCGCTGGAGAAGTTTGAGGGTCATCCGCACGCACAGGCCGTGATGCTTAAGCAGCTCGCTGGTCAGCGGGTCGTCGCTCGCATCCTGACCACCGAGAAGCAATTCAACGAACTGGGCGGCTGTGCCCAAGGCGTATGGAAGGATGAAATGCGCAGCGCCTGTCTGGTGGGCACACTGTACGACACGTCCACGGCGGATGACATACACCTCAACGATCTGGTGGCCAATGAGATTAGCCTCAACACACCAGCGCCCATACTGAGTCCGGACCAGAAGTCCAACCCTGTGCTCATTTCTCACATCAACGAGGGCGGCGATCTTACGGTGCTGCTGCGCAACGAGGATCTGCGATTTGTGGAGCGCAGCATTGCCACCACAGTGGCTGACATCGGGGAGCAGCATCGTGTCACATTGTCGGATTTGCTGCGCGATCGACTCGTGTTTGTCTGCGACGAGTCGGTGGAGGGCCTGAAGCAGTGGTATCGCGGCATGCTCACCGCCAAGCCAAAGAACGCAGATGAGGAGACATTCGATGTTTACTACGTGGACGATGGACGCCTGCGCAAGACGCACATTTCGAACATTTATCGACTGGAGGCCAACAATCTGGCGCTGGCTGGTTATCCGCCGCTAGCGCTGCGCGTGCGCCTGCACGACGTGCCCGATATCGTCGGAGATATGCTGGGACGCCTGCGTGGACTAATGCCGCCACGCAGCGAAGCTATAGTGAGTGTGCCAGCAATGGAACAAAAGGAATTGTTAACTTATTTGCATGTAATCCGCAGCTCAAGGTGATGGAGGGTGCAGGCAGTGACCAGCTGCCCATGGTGAATGTTTATGTGCGCGGCCAGGATGCCAATGCCATGTATATGTGCGTGAACAGCGCCATACAAATGGAGTTTGAAATGCAAAGGTAAGTGCCATGCTCCATTCACAACAATCATCATACTCATGCGCCCACACACACACACACACACACAGCCCACAATCCACCCACTAATTGGTATCAAGCTGCCCTAAAAACTAAACACAAACCATAACATTTTTGTTCTGAACTGTTACCCTCTCATATCAATGCCAAAATAATGTCATTCTCTATTAGTGCTTTCGATAAACTGGAAATGAAATGATAACGCTAACCGCTAACCACCCAACCAACCCCCCACCACCACCACCACCACCACCATTCACCGATCAATAAGTAAATGTTCAGCAAAATAAAAGCATCAACATCATCGATTATTGTAAGATAACTTAACTAACGCTCTAAGAACAACTCCATTTCGCATCTTTGTATATAAAGAACATAAAATATATACTCGTATTCGAACCATCATCAAATAAGTGTCCCTCAATGTCCCACAACCAATCCTACTACCTTCCTACTTCCCCCACGTCGTCCTGCCCATTACACAGAAGCACGTGTCCGCAGAGCTACGATGATGGTGGGCTGCGCTTCAATCCCAACGGGCAGCTGCAGCGACGCAACAGCTTCGGCTCTGTGGTGTCCAGCCACAGCAGCGGCAGTCAAAGTTTCAGCGAGCATCAGACACCACCAGTGACGCCCTTGAGACTGTCATCGTCCACCACAATCAAAGACTACGAGGCCATACCGGCTGTGGGCGCATACTTTGAGGTGCGCATTGGTCTCTCCATCAATCCAGGACACTTTGCGGTGAGTCGAAGCCCCAAGTCCATCGCTTACCAGTCATATTTAACACTCTTCTGCAATTCCAGGTGCAACCCTACAAGTGCTACAATCAGTTGCAGCATTTGATGAAGGATTTGCAGGCGCATTGCAAGGGCGCATCAGCACAGAGCGTGCCAGCTGCCCGTTTGGCCATTGGCCAGGCATATGCTGCTCCAGACAGCGATAATGTCTACTATCGGTGAGGCGGGAACGAAGAGACAGACCAAACCCATAGCTAACCAGCCTCTAAATTCTTCTTACAGCGTGATTATTCGCAAGATTTACGATGAGATTATCCACGTGCGCTTCGTGGATGTGGGCGATGATGGTGTGGTGGCCTGTGATCAACTGAAGAAGCTACCACCGGCCTTGACCGAGCTGCCCAGGATGGCCATACCAGCGCAACTTTATGGTGGGTCCGCGTCGCTATCCAATATCGAATTTATTCATTGATATTCCTGTGCAGGCATCCAACTGGCAGATGTTCTCTGGACTCAGGAGAACTGTGAACGCTTCAGGAGCCTCACGCTGGGTCAAAAGTTTATCGGTTTTGTGCGGCGTCTAAGCAGATTAAAGGATGAGACGCTGGCACTGTGCCTGGAGCTGATTGACACCTCCACGCCGCAGGACATCAAGCTGCACGAGATTCTCATCAACGAGAAGCACGCGCAGCCGCAGCCAGAAGAACGACTTTAATTTTGACTTTTTTTGAACTTGTTCACGTTTATGTTTGCTTAATTATAGCCTTAGGATTAGGTGTATTATTTATAATTTATTAAGACGATACATTCCCCCACACACACGGGAACCGCTAACTCTGTACTCCTTCTCGGAAAAACGCAACAATATACACAAATTTATGATTTTAGCTCTATCGCGAGAAGGGATGCACTTGGTTGGCCGCTTTGATGTTGGTCTTCACCGCTGAGGGTGCCTTGCCGAGCTGCTGCTGCACGTTGCCCGGGCTCATGGCGGGGCCGCCCATAGGCGAGGAGGCGCGTATTGAGGGTGGAACCATCATGTTCGGCCCGGGGCCGTAGCTGGTCATCTTCATGCCCTTGCCCATGCCCACGGCTGCAACGAGGAGCTGGGTGTCGGCCATGCTGCTGGTCTGTTGGATGCCGGTGCGCGAGGAGGACTCAATCTCCCACTCCTCGCGGGCCTTGCTCACCATGTCCAGGACGTGGGAGACAACCTTGTTGTATTGGGTGACCTGCTTCATGGCCGCATCGTTGGTGAGATTTGCCGCCTTCTGCTCGTTCGCCTGCATCTTCTGCTCGGTGAGGGGATCGGGACGCGTCCGCAGATAGTCCGGCACAATGTCGTGCGAGAACACCGGCACGCGTCCCTCAGTGATGCCTATTAGCGTCTCGTCGCGATCCATGGACACCAGCAGCGGCAGCACCGTTCGGTTCCTTAGCGGTGGACACTGCTCTTTGGCCAGAATCTTCGTTAATCCTGTCAAGTGGCTGGAAATTATGGCAAAATTGTCCAGAAATGTTGGCCAGTTAATGGTCTCGAATTCCATCTCCAGTTTCTGGATCATGGCCAGCACCGCCAGCTTTAAGTCGTTCAGGCGCTGCAGGACGGCGTCCAGCGTCATCTCAAAGTGTTTTTCTTCGCGCTGCATTTCCGTTTTATTTTAATAAAATCTAATTTCCGAAAATGAATAGCACCGGACAGTGTGACCATGTGACGACTGAAGCAGCTGTTGCGGTAAATACCATATCTGAGATTTTCGCAGTGCATTCTGGGTACTTTCGCAATTACAGCGAACGGGCTGACAAACATGGCCGTCGTTTTGCAGTGTTAGCAAAAATGTAGCTTGACATCAGACAATCGTGTGGACATTTGATTCTTAATGGCTTGTAATATACCAAAATTGAGGAAAATGATTTTCCTCGGTATATTTTCAAATTTAGAGGGTGTATTTCGGTATATTTTAGATGGCCTGAGAGTATATCTTATCGATAGATACGCGGTCACACTGGCTGTGAAAGAAAAAACGCCGTGAAAAATAATTTGCAATTAAAACCACACGAGAACTCTTTAAGCGTGCACGCAAAACGTATAAAAATGTAAGCAATCTAGTCTAGTGACTGTTACTATCGTTTTACACAATCGCTAATGCCTACAAACGGTAATACGCAACGGGATCAATTACTCTTACCGTCGTCGTCGGATGTCTCACAATCTCTATTTATCTCGCTCACACTCGTTCGCTGTTGCTGACAAAGCAAATACATACGCGACGGGGCGTGTACATGTGTATGTGCTGTTTGTGTGTGCAAGCTGGCCAGAAGCTGAAAAGTGAAAATTTGTGTGTATGCGTGGATGACACGATCAAAAGCCGGTCGGTGCTCCCAATACCGATGCTCCTGCAGTCTCGATCCTGCTCCTACTCTTGCGCGGAACTGTATATTGACTCGCCCCACATGCATACGTCGTTCCACGCCCCCGCTGGCCATGCGCTTGGTCTGTCGCGTCGCGGCATGGGCTGAAGTTGATCGCGTAACGTCGCCCCCTAACCCGCGAACGCAGACACTCCCTTGGCTAGGAATATTCGCTCGATCGGTCGGAAAGTGTACGGGAATGCGGGAATACGGGTATTCTCTGAATGCTGACCCTCGCACCCTTCGGTCGCGTTCGTGTACGTGCGCTCACATCACATCGGTCGTGTTGTTGTACTCTCTCTCTCTCTCTCTATTCTCGCTCTCTGCAGATGTTTCTCTGATTCTCTCTCTTCTCTACCTGATTGTTGATATTGTTGTTGTTGTACGCCATTTCTAATGCCTCTCTTTCATGTTTTTTAATACAAATTGTAATATATTTGCAGCTTTTTGTGTATGTTTTCTGAATAAGTATCCATGCCAAAATGAAAATGGTAAAGTGTGTTGCCGCGTTCGCATAACCGTCGAATAAATCGATATACCCCATATATACACTCTATACGTGCGCGATTGTTTGATAGCATAAAAGAAAAATAAATAGAGAGCTAGAGCGATATTCGATATCGAAGCGATTCAGCCCGCGATGGCGTCGCGCAGGCGCGCCGATTTGAATCCCAAACTGCACATGGACAGGCAGCCGACAGCTGCCCGCATAACAGGTACCTCCCAAAACCAGTACAAAAATCAAACCAATCAATTGGTAATCCGGGGGGAGATGTCTTATCCCTCGTGTTATGACGTGGCCCTAAAACGGCGCCATAAAGCAGGGATGCGATTCTCACGAAAGCCAAACCCAAAGCCGACGACGGACGATCGACGAGTGCAGCTGGCCGTCAAAATTGATAAAAACCTAACCGCCTGCCCTTGCACCATTACAGATCCATCTCTGCCTGCAGGCAAGCGACGCGAGATCGACAACGTCATGAAGAAGGCTCGGGCCAACACCACCAACGACTACTGGGACAAGAAGCTGATCGAAGCGGAGGAGAAGGATCCGAATCGCTGGCGTCACACCGGCTACAAGAAAATGTACATCCAGGGCGAGAGCAGCTCCGGGGACAGTGATCGCGAGCCGCACGGTGTGCCGCGTCCTGGCGAGGGAGCACCACCACCGCCCTATGGCCGTTATCCGCCCGGAGGAGGCGGTCCGTCAGGCCCACCGCCGCGCTTTGGCCGCTCCCGTTCGCCACATTCGCGCAGTCGTTCCGGCCTGCGAAAGTCGCCGCCGTTGTCGCCCCAACCGCGTCGTAGATCACCGCCGCCGCCCATGCACGGCATAGATCGTCGGGGCGGTCCGCGTTCCCCACCCATGCCGCGCTCACCCAACGATGCCATGATGCGTCGCCCAGGCAATGGCCACGGTCGGCCACGTTCCCCGCCCGAACCGAGCTCCGGCTCGTCGTCCTTGCGCCGCAAGCCAAACGCGTCGCGTTCCCCCTTGGGTCGTCGTCGCTCGCCACCGTTGCCTCCACCATCGTCGGCGGGACTGGACAAGCGCGGTGCGGGACACATTCTGCCGCGTTCCAAGCGTCCACCGTCGCCACCGCCAAGGGTAAGTCATGCCAGACATCTATTGTCCAATTATTAATTTGTCTCCATTCCTGCAGCATTCGATGCGTTCGCGTTCCAACAGCTCAATGAGCAGCAGCTCCGACGATTCATGCTCCCTCTGCTCGCCCAGTCATCGCCATAGATCTCGGTAAGCATTTACGCCTGATGTTGTGTGTCCATTGATGCTGATTCCACATTGTGTGTGTTCACCCCAAAACAGATCCCGCGGTCCGCGCTCTCCGCCGCAAAAGCCGCGTGGCCATTATCGTGCTGGAGGTCCGGCAATACCGCCGCCGGATGCACATGGCCGCGTCCATGGTCGTCCCAGCAGTCCACCGCCGGTACGTGGTGGCGCAGGCGGCTGTATGGTTTCCGCCATCGACAAATATCGGGACGCCAAAATGCGTCATCTCGCACACGAACGCGGCGCCACGTCGGAAGCGCACATGAAAGTCGCGCGCTCGTCGCGTCACTCACCGCCGCCGGAAGATCCGCGTCTCAAGCATCGTCCGCCAGAGCCACCAGAGCCAGCGGCGACAGCTACAGCCGCCACAGCTCCACAGGCCAAGAAGAAGAAAAAGGAGAAGGAGGTGAGTGTCCAAGTCCCCCACAATCCATAGATCCAATCATTGAACTGAACTCTTCTGTTCACAGCAGGTGAGGCCACGCATCAAGATTGAGGGTGAGAAACAGCGTAAAAAGCCTGGGGCGCCCAGTGGCAGTGGAGCGAATGCAAACTCCTCATCCGGCTCGGATGATTCGGGTGACTCGGACAGCGATGAGGTGCCGTCGCTGCCAACGTTCTCGGCAACGACGCGGCTAACGCTCTCGGAGCGCTTCGGGAAAATGGCACAGTGGAGCATCGATCGGAGTAACATGGAGAATATGCGCATCACCAAAGATTCCGCGGGTGGTGCACTCAAAGTGATGATCGAGGAGGGTCTCGAATCGCCGCCGCGTCGCTATTCGTATTCGCCGGCGCCGGCCGGACACTTTCCGGAGGAATTGGCGACCACAGCACCGTCGGGCATGCTGTCGTGGGACGATGTGCGCGTCCGTTACGAATACTACAAGAGTCGTGGCTATCTCAGGGATCTTGATTTGAAGGTAAGTCCATTAAAATACTCCGCAAAGTGGCATTTCTAGATCATTCTTTTCTTGCTCTCACACAGGACTACATCAAGTGGGAGGAATGGTGGTATAAATATCAGGAGTGGCTAAAGCAGGAGCGCTACTATGAGTACTGGGATCGTAGTCAGCAATTGCGACGGCGTCGCAAGAAGCTGCCAGTCACTCAGCGTCTCAACTGAGCACCAATCCCCGGATCCACACCGCAGTCTCCCCCATCCTGTAGTGCCCCATTTTCCCTTTCCCCTTAACTGATTCATCCTCGCTTATCACTTTATTACCCATTTTATTTGAATTGAATTTTTGATTTTTATTTTGCTTTTTTTGTTTAATATTTCACACATTTATCACATTAATTAATTAACAATTCCCGCCCCTGCTCTCCCTTTTTGTACATTGGAAATGTACGGAAAATGCATTTGTGTCGGCTCTCATTTATTTGATAACTAAATAACAAATACGCATATACCGCGCGACACACGATCGTGGCGAATGTTAAGTAAGGATTTACATTAACAAAATGATAATTTTAAGTTTGCGTTGGGACTGTGCGGCCGGCAACGGCGCAGATCCCGAAAAGGCAAATGTAAAACACATTTAATAAAAACATTTAAAAACGTAACAACATTTTTCAGTGTAAAGTTTGTGGATGTTTGCGAATGTTCTCTCGATTTGAATTGGCTAATTTCTGCGAGTTCGTTTTCGCGGCATTGGACGCACCACCGCCACGGGTGGTTTAAAAGCGACAAAAGGCGGCGATGCTGCTGGAACAGCTGATGAACTAAAGTTAGCATCTATTCATCATTGTTTACTAGTTGTAAGACTTACCACCAGCAGCAGTTCCTCCTTCAGCTTGGGGCTGTGGTTCAGACGCGCCGGAATGCACGACAACTGTGCGCTGTCCGCCAACTAAACGGCGTCCGCCAATCGAGCACCGTCCGCCAACTGAGCGCCGTCCGCCAATTGGTCGCCGTCCACCAATTGGTCGCCGTCCGCGAATTGGTCGCCGTCCGCGAACTGGACGCAGTCCATCAACATAACTCTGTCCGCCAATTGAGCGCTGTCCGGAAACTGAGCGCTGTCCGGAAATTGAGCGCTGTCCGGAAATTGAGCGCAGTCCGCCAACTAAGCGCTGTCCGGCAGCGACACAGTATTGTCTATTAAGCCTGGCAGCTAAGCGTAATGCGCCAACCACACCAGCTGATATTACGGCAACTAAGCGCTGGCCTCCTGCAACAACAACTTGTCCGGCAACTGCGAGCTGTTCTCCAAATGTACGAACTTCTTGAAAACGGCGAAACGCCGAACGATTTTGAACACGAGCTTGTCGTACACGACATCTGCGTAACAGTTCTATTAGCTCTTCAATCGCTTCTGATCTCTCAATGAATGGGTAAGTCTCGTATCGCGCTCGTTGGACGACACTGTAGGCCATATCGCGCACCATAAGTTCATAATTACAAAAATAACAATCACGTGGGCCATGGTGTCTACAGTTGGCAATCATTTCAGTGGGACGTGCTCCATCACGACGGACAGGAGTGGCTAGGACTGTCTGCCAACTCTCAACACGTTCATCAGCCTGGAGTGCAGCAACTGCTGGTTGTTCGGCTGCAAATGGTTGATGCTCGCGTTGTTCGACATTAAGGGCAGGAACTGCCTCAACATCTGTGCAGCAAATCGAGCAACATATTGTTACAATATCTAGAAATAACTTGTATTCTTACCAGGGAGCGGTAGCGGCATTGGTGGTGGCAGTTACAAACAAAAGCGAGTAGAAAAAGAGAAGCAGGCTAACTAGGAAGCCGGCACCAGAATAAATGTTGAAGCTGTCAGGCGGTAGGTACAATCTTGACAGATCAGACAGACGCTTTGTTGGCGATGGGAAAATAGCGATGATAGGTAGATTAAATTGTGAATTAAGCTATCAAGTCAAGAAAATATCGACAGCCCCATCATCGAATTGAAGTAACTGGTCAATGCGGACTCATCGTCGTGCAAACATCCAATTTCGCGGCAACGATTAAATTACAAAATATAAGGGGCATACATTTGTCTAGTGTTCGTTCGTCAAACAACTCTTTTTTGAGTTCAAAATTTGTAGTAACATTTGTACGCAGTTTCGCAGTATCGATTAAATTCAAAATAAAATAAATTTTATGTGATTTTTGAGAAACTAGTAGCCTTTTCCTGGTTTCCCAGTTGACTGTCAGTATAGCTCTACGAGTCAGGCAGCTGTTTGAGTCATTCTTATTTAGAACCTTGTGCCGAGCACATATCCCAGTAAATAAAATAAAAGTGAGTTGAAAAAAAAAAAAAATAAATTTTAAATTCAAATATTTGTAAAATATTTCTGGAAAATCTCAACAATAATTTCGTTATACATTTCGGCAAAAAAGTTTAATTTAATTTAAATATAGTGAATGTTTTTAAGTGAATTAAGGAACAAACAATTAATTTTAATTTGATTTCAAAACGGTTTTAAATTACAAATTTATTTGAGTTTCATTTACTTATTGTCGAAAATGTTGCCACATTATTTCCGAGAAATTTGTAAATATTTGTGAAAGTTTTGCTAAATTTGTTCAATTTATTTCCTACTCCATTTTTATTTTTTTAATATTTTTCAATTTGTTTTTCTAGAGCTGCTTTTATTGATAACGAAACGAATTCTTGATCATGTCCAAGTTGAATATTTTGCTGATCTTCTGGTGTAAGTATGGGGGCCAGTCTCTACAATTTTTCTGCAAGCGTAACTAATATTTTGGTGTGTGGTGTGTTTGGGTTCAGGTGCCGTGATGATGATGCAGCCAGGAATGGGGCAGAAGTTGCGCGTGAAGCGCTCACCAGTCTCCACTGTGGCTGTCCATGCGACCAACTCTACTTTTTCTGCCAAGATGTTAAGTCAAGCGCGCAGCATTACAATTGCAGCAACTCCCAAAATGATGACAACTAAAGCAGTGGCCACCACAGCCACGCCTTCAACTGTGCTCGCTTACTCCACTGGCTTCACAGCAGTCCCCACAACCAAAACTACAACCAAAGCAGTCGGCACAACAGACGCAATCACATCCACGCCACAACTGGTCGCGAATCTTATGTCCGAACTGCAGAGCGCCAAGCGTCGCCTTGACCTGTTGAATAATGAAATAATGGCCCACTCGAGCCGCAATCCCGCTGCCACGTCTGCTTCTCGATCGCAAAGAATTGAAGAACTAATGGCCCGCCACTGTCGCCACCGTCGCAATCCCGCCTCTGTGTCTGTGGTTGCTGCCGGATCTGCTCCCCCGTCGCCGCCTCGTGGCCGTCTAACGCTGAAGAATGATCCCCAAAACGCACGCAAGAAACGCAGCCACGGCCCTATGTCACCGCACCATCTTCGTGGTTTTTACAGCAAGAGGCTCTTGCCGGATGGCAAAACCGAGATGGAGGAGTTTCAACTGGTGGCACCCAAAATGACCGACGATAACGCGCAGCAGGGACTCGACTATGAGCCGAAAATGATGGCCAGAATTCGTCAAGTGAAGAAACAAAACGGCGGCCACATTTTGACTCCCTCTGAGTACTATCAGCAGTTGAAGACATCGCAGGCTCTACCCCCAATGTTCGACATGGCACAGCAGATGTTCAAGCAGCAGGCGCGTATCTTTGATTTGATCGATCACGCCGATGAAATGACGCTGCGGCAGTTGCCCAAATTAATCGATCATTTTCTGAAGAATGGTTTGGGGATGGTGATGGATGCCAAAAAAAATGAGAACAAGGTCCAGAACAGCGAGGAGAAAGAGGAAAAGGTCCCGAACAGCGAGGATAAAGAGGAAAACGGCAAGAACAGCGAGGACAAAGAGGAAAACGGCAAGAACAGCGAGGAAAACGAAGACAACGAGGAGAGCAAGTTCAACAAGCAGGAGGAGCGGCGCCATCTACTGGAAGCCGCCAAGAAGAATGCCGCAGAACTCAAGAATGCCTCCGCCAACCGCGAGGATGAGGAGGAATTTGTCATCAGCTGCCCAGTACGCCACGATCACCATGCCAATCGCAATGGGGAAATAGTAGACGACGATGTGGTCCTTGTCGACCAGTGTCATGTTGCATAGGGAATTTATGGGATAAGTTTGTGTAGGACTAGGATAGTTTTAGAGGATTATAGTTTAGAATTCAATTTTTGCTTGGGGCTTTCATCTAAATTTGTAGGTTTTTTGCTTAGTATTTGGGTTTTAGTTGGGTTTTTTGGGAAATTGTTTAAATAGGTTTTCCGTTTCTTTTCGGTTTTTTTGTAAGCAAAACTTTGAATGCCAAAAAATTGTGTGAGGTTATCTTTAGCATAAGGAATATTAGCGTTTAGGAAGATAATATAAAGAAAGAAAAATAAATAAAAACTTACGCATTCAATCAATTCTTTTGAATCAACCGCCCAAACATCAGAATCTAGCTGCCCTCTACCGGTAACAATCACAGCTTAGCTGCACTGTCGCCATCTGTCTTCCCACATAGATGTCGCCTGCTGGCAATGTTCAGCTGCTGTGTCGTCATCTCTCGCTGGCGGTTTGACTTCTTCACCCACAGGTGTCGGCTGCTACCGGTTACTCCTTTTGTCAGTTACATTTCAAAACGAAATGAGCTTTTTTTCAAGGTCAATTTGGATAAATTTGCATGGACACTCGTAAGTAAGGAGCAGCCGATGGAGCAACAAAAAATGTAAATATCTCAGCCATCTGCACATGTCAATCGTGTGATGTGCACGCAGCGTTTATTTGACGGCATATAAATTGAAAAATTCCCATAAAAATGTGTAATTATTTGACATATTTTCAATTTCCACAAAAGCCCGAGCAGGAGAAACCGGAGGCTGGGGGCTGCCACTGACACGTACAAGATTGTGCCACCGCTCATCTCCTGCTGCCAGGTTTCTGGCTGTGATTTCCGCTCCACAAATTAGCTCTTTTTCGTTTGGCGTCTAAGGTAACTGATAATCTGATTAGGCAGGTGGCGTGAGGCAGTAAGGAGTGGGTAGGCAGAGAAATCGCTTAATGCTAATGTGTCGATGCCTAAGCTGCGACCTGGCTAATTGAGGTTGGTGGGAGAAGTGAAGGCAGGCCAACTCTGGGGGGTTATAGGTTATTAAATGAGTTCGTTCTTTAATCTTACAGCCTCTAACCCCAATCTGTAGTAGCGTCAACCCCCGCCAGAGGGCATGCCCTCGCACAATTAAGCTCGAAATAAAAACAACAACAAAAGCAACGCCGGCTTTAAGTCCCGCCCACAGCAACCACTGTGAGAGCGGGCTGGGGAGTCTGAAGTAAAACTTGAGGAGAAGTCACGTCTAATTACACACATCTTGGAGCAGCTTTTTGACCTGGTCTGGTCGGGTGCTGCTGTAACTCGCTGCTGCTATTTGGACTCTTTTACCAAATTGGTTTTAAAAGCCACAGGGGCTGGGACTACGTGTATGAACACTGGCGATGAGAGCGCGTGAGAACGTGAGCAATTATAACGGTTAAGTGGTGGAGAACGAGAGAGAGAGAGAGCGACAGCGACAGCGTGAGCAAGCCCTCTAGGCTGAGAGGGAGGCGATAATCCCTTTATAATCCACACACTCAATGACATTATATGCTGAAAATTACGAAATAAGTGTCATGAATCAAGCGACAGCAAAAAAGCAGGAAATGAGAGCCAACAGAGGTCCAAAATGCGCGACACCAGATCATGGGTGAGCTGTGGATTCCATGTGAACATCCACGATCCACAGTCCGCAGCAAGCGCCATACAAAACATTTCAGCAACATTTTAAATCAAGCGGTGAAAGAAATTGATTGATAACTGATTGAACAGGAGGATCCCCCAGCCTGAGCAGCCTTTGGCAGCCAATCACGCACAAAGAGCTGAAAGGAGCTGCTGGCATGCTGTGGGGGGGAGGGACTGTTGATGGCTGATGGGTAACGTGGAGCGTAAAGCGTGGAACGTGGAACGGGACTTGTGAATTAACAATTCCTTTCAATTAAGTGAGCAACCAACAAAAAGTTCGAAAGCAACAAAAAGCGAGAGCCACCTCTCCGGTGGAGAGAGAGCGAGCGAGCCACAGCGTAAGGGCGTGTAGACGCGGGCCAACGATATTTTCGTTTCAATAAAAATCAGCAACAGCAAATGAAAATGTTGCAGGCACAACACAGGCTACAGTGGTGGATCGGCAAAGGGGAAACCAAAAGAAGGTAAGAAAAAACTGCTAAAGAAATTGGAAAATTTTCCATGGAATGTTCTTAAGAACAATGGAACAAAGGAAATGTGTTCCTTAATTCGGCAATAGCTGAGGGCTAATTTAATGGGGTTAAGATAGGTACACTTTTAGAGCCTCCACTGTACACCAAACATGTGTGTGTGTGTGAAGAGGGTACGAGTGCGAGTATGTACATAAATAAACGCCGACAGATAACAGACGGCTGGCTGCACGGGCTGCTGGGGGTGCTGGGGCTGTTGAGGGCGTGACTGAGGGCAAGCCTTCATCGTGGATGGGTCTAAAAATCAGCAACAAACTGTAACAAGTTTCGTGTTTCTCTTTTGCAATTTCTTTCGTTACAGTCAATCAGTTTTGCATGAGCGATTTCTTTACTCGTTTGCGCCAACTCTACAATTTACTTACACATGCACACAGACACACACACACACACACACACACACACACACCCTTTTTGCCTCTCTCTCTCTCTATCTTTGACTCGCCTTCTCTTTGTGTGTGGAGTCCAGCCAGTTGAAACAAAGTTAAAAAGTGTTGACTGTACTCAATGATTTAGCAATGAGTCCACCCAAAACTTAAACTTTGCTGCAGCTCTATTTGTGTGTTGGAATGCTGGATGGGGTGGGGTAGTACTTGAAGCACTAAGGATCTCAATAGAGATTATTAGAGATTAAAGCAGTTGTTGCACCCCCAAAATCTATAAAGTAGCAACAAATAATTAGCAACAATCTGGCAAAACACTTTCGGGGCAATCTTTCGACTCCTGTTAAGCACTTTCTGTAATTAAAATCGAAGCGAAATCGAACAGAATTCCCCCAGAAACAATTGGTAAAGGAGCAACTTTTGGGTAAACTCAACTCAACTCGCACATGTTAAAAGATTTTCACACGCACCTCCGTCAGGGAAATTGTGGCATGGGGCAGGGGCAGTGGCAGACATTGTATCCCAAAAGTCGAGCTTGTCTTTGATTTTGTCGGAGCGACGTGATATTTGCTTAATTTTTGATACCCACTACGAAAGCAGAGCAAAAGAGAGTCCATTGAGTCTGTGGGGTGGGTGCAATTTGGTGCTTCATTTACAGCTGGCTAACAGGTAGCAATCGAACTATCATTCGATTTCCCCACCAACCCTCTTTCTGCCTTTTGTTACCGTTGTTTCCTGAGGGAATTTTGGGGTTGATTTTGGTTTGCACGAATAATTATTTGTCCATTTTGGGGCCTGGGGTTGGAGTGAAGTTTGGCTGCTGTTCAGGTAATTTTGCCACAGACACAGACCCAAGCAATTAGAATCGAAATCAAACGAAGCAAAACGGAAACAACACTCGACATACACACACACACACACAAACACACGCGTACCAGTATGCCATGATGGCAGGATACGCCAGTGCCAATGCAATCGGATATCGAGTAAATGATTCCCCGTTGCCCAGCAGAGATGTAGATGCTCGAGATTCAAGCTAAAATGTTCGTTTTGTTTCAGCAGCTGTTGAAATGCTCTCAGGGTGCAGAATGTGGTATGGGTGGGGGTAGCTTAAAGTGGGAATTCTGTTGGCATGGAGCTCCTCCAGTTCACTGTTCCTCCATTAAGTCTTGGCCTGCCTTTACTATTGTTCTACTTCTGAGATACCTCAAAAAAATCCAACAGCAACAAGCACTCCTTTGTTCAACAATTAAAGGATGTGCTGCAGAACCCTCAAGCTCATTCCATTCAGAATTGTACTCCAAAGTTCTCATAATTTTATTGACTTGCTCGCAAAGATTTTTTATTTTTTTGTGAATTGTTTACACATTGCGTTGCATATTTCATTGGTCTTTTCTTTTATTGGATACTTAATTTTAATCTACCCCCAGCCCCTCGACATATTTGTTTGCTCATATTCCATCTTCATTTTATTATTGTAGCAAATTTGAAGAGCGAAAAACATAGGGAAAATGTTTCTCTCTGACAGCCATAAAGCCGCTCCCACATGCGCTGCGGAATTGTTGTCTGTTTGGTCGGAAAATACATAATTTCATTATGCTACTCCCCGCTGCCCGCTGCCCGCTGCCCGCTCCTCCCCTCGTTTCAATGTACTTCCCCATCTGTTTTTGTCTGCCTGCAGCATTAACTGTCAACACGGCTCAGGTCCCGGGCAGATGGCGGTTTGCTTTCTTAATCTTTGTACATAATTTCTGGCAAAACTCATGTTATGAAATGTCTTGCTGCTGCTCCTTAAATGTGATATAAATTCCCTAATTCGGGGTACATTTACTACAGCAATTAGTGGAGGAATATAGAACCCAAGTTTCAGCGACAGTTCGCTGCATTTTGCTGCCCAAATGGAGATCCATTTCCACCAGCAACTTCCCTGTAGTTTTGGCTTCAGCTTTGGAATTCCCTTCATGCAAAACCCACCCTTATACCATACAAAAACAAGCCCTACACCGAACCCAACTAACATTTAACGTGCTTCACCTGTAACTTGTTGATCTTTTAAAGAGTATTTACTGCTTTGTCTGCTTGGTTGGAGGGTTGGAAGTTTGACTTCTTTTTTTGCCTTCGTTTTTATCTGCTTCTGTGAGCTTTGTTTGAGTTTTTCTTTTGTTTTTCTTGGCCTTGGCTTTATTTCCTTTTCCTTTCATATGTGTGTATGTCCTTTTGGCTGTTTGCAGGTATCTTTCCCTGCAAAAGGTGACCTTTCCGCCTTCCTTTGTGGCACAGCGACAATGCGACTTGTGCTGCTGGTGCCTGCTGTCTGCTGCCTTGCTTCATTTCTTACATTCATATTTCTGGCACATTCCCCCTGCCCACAATGGAACACTTGACCAAGGAATACCAGGAAAACCAAGGGAAAACCACAAGCATGGTGTGGGAGCAGGAGCAGGAGCAGGAGCAGGGCATCGCTTTCAATTGCCAACTTAGCGCTGATTACTTATTCGTCAAAGGCAAAGTCCGGGCAGGCAGGCCGGCAGTCAGGCAAGGCAAGGCCCCACACAGGCCACAAGGATATCAGTCAAAAGGAGTTGACTCCTCCACACTTTCACTCGGTCTTAGCGCTCCAGCTTGTGGTCCCACTCCTACTCCCAGTCCTACTCCAGCTCCTTCTACTGCTTTGGCCAC